TATTTTAAAACACTTGTCATACACTTCTTGGACGTATATCTTACACTTCATATCCACTTCTTGAAACATGTTGGACAATGGTCGAGTTTCAAACTATGATTTTAAAGGGCCATTTATGTGTCTAGTTCGCAAACAAGTGATTTTTCAATTTATAATCCACATAATAAAAGAAACATAACAATTTTATAGGAATTTAATTTTCATAACACACCAAGAGATAAAGGGGGTGAGACTCAGCCATGTGATGTGGCTTTTAGAGTTGCCCTCACCACATATAGGTATGCTTAGTACCAATCACTACCAGCGTGGAGAAATCTCAACCCCACATCTAATATTGTAAATTACAAAGAGAAAGATGTCACATAGGGTGTACTTTCTACCCATCTAATCTCATCCACATCGATGATTGAGATTCCCTCACCTCACTACCAAGTTGGTGCTTGGTACCAAGCATACCTATATTAATTCTCGCTATCTCTCTATACACACACACTCTCTCTCTAATTCTCTAATATATATATATATATATATATATATATATATATGTGTGTGTGTGTGTGTGTGTGTGTCTCTCTCTCTTTCTCTATACACACACTCCAATATATGTATATATATGTATATGTATATGTATATGTATATATCTGTGTGAGAGCGCGTGCGTGTGCACGTGTGGGCGCGCGCGCGGTGCGTGCTGAAAGCACCCTAGAGGGGGTGAATAGGGTTATTGTTAATCTTATTAGATATTAATGCCGATTAAAACTAATTAACAAATATATCCTAACAAAATTGATATTCGATGAGATATATGCGAGGATATATAAACAAGAACAAATAAACAAAAATGATAGTGCGTAAATGACAAACACAAACACACGATATGTTCACGGAGTTCGGTCAACCACTTGACCTACGTCTCCGCTCCCCACCTCGAGGAGATCTCTACTATCACAATCGGGTTTTCGACGCTCACCCGAATAACGTTTACACCTCACAATACGGTTTTCTAGTTTACCGAAAACTTTACAATTTACACACTTGTAAATACACTTCACACCCTCTAAGTGTTGGCCTAGCCCGTGTCACCTTCCTCAAGTGCTCGGAATTACGACTTACCTCTAGGTTTTACTACCGACGTCACTCCTCTCGGAACCGACCTCGTCTCTCACCAACCACTTCTCTCGATGTACAAGTGTAATACAACGTGTAACTCACAATAAGGCTCAAATACAATAATTATTCTCTAATATGGATGAGAACTCAATGGAAGCTCACTCTCTCAAAATCATAATCCCACAACCCAATATATGATGTATGAAGTACTACAAGCTCAATTAGGGTGTGTGTGTGATAAAAAGAGTATAAACGAAATCTAACTCAATTAGTAAACTAGCAATAAATGATAATATGAAAAACAGTGACTAGAGAAAAGAGTTAGAAAAACTTCTCTATAAACACAATAGAGGATGAAGAAGATTGAGGATGAATTACTTCTCTATAAACACAATAGAGGATGAAGAAGATTGAGGATGAATTCCTCAATTGAAAATGCAAGCCTCCTCTTTGTAGAAGAAGATTGAGGATGAATTCCTCAATTGAAAATGCAAGCCTCCTCTTTGTAAACTCAAACTTAGAAATCTTAAACAAACTTTAAACTCTTTTAAAACTTGATTAAATAATTTTCTTAGTTAGTTGGAGAATTGAATGTGGAGGGGTATTTATAACAACCCAAGATATCAGCTTAGATCTAACCAAAAAGACCAAAATACCATTTGAAGACAAGACTGGAATATAGCCGTTACAGTGTTATAAGTCGACTTACGTTGTTTATAAGTCGACTTATAAACTAGCCGTTACAGGCTCAGACATCACACATAAGTCAACTTACAGGAAACGATAAGTCGACTTGATATAACATAAGTCGACTTGTAATCTTATAAGTCGACTTAGCAGAGGCCTTCTGCTAATTCCAGAGCAGTTCATAAGTCGACTTGCTTATGGCATAAGTCGACTTATAAACGTGCACAGACTTGAAAGGCACAGTAAAATTCAACTTCAAACTTTGTCAAAAAATATCAAATAAAATCCAAAAGTTGTAAAATTTAGGGGACGGTTTATAAACATGTAAATGAACATGTTATAAGAGAAAATTTTCAAATATCATTCCCCATTTGTAAAATCTATCAATTTTGCAAAACCATGTATGAATACATGTTTATGAAAGAACTAGAATTTGGATTATTGACATATGAAGGTTATGAACTTTGTGAAATGTTTTCATAAACTTTGTAACACATGAATGTAGTGTAAACATGACCAATAAACCAAAATAACGGAATTTTCTTAAGAAATTCATTTTCTAAGAAAATCAAATATTGTGAGTGTATATATAGTGAGCTTGAAATATACCTAAGGTGGAGAAGAAGCTAGCTTGCTTGAATCTATAACTTGATAATAGCTTCATTTCAGATATAATGAACATGGATATAAAACAACCAAACACTAAACACTAAAACCAATGTTAGTCGTAAATTAAAATCATCATAAAACAAGAAGGCTAACACGTGCATGCGCGTGCGCGTGCGTGTGTGTGTGGGCAGGGTAGGATTACAATACACAGGGTGTAACTTAGTTATACCTGTAAAAATACACTTCTGCCCATCCATATTGTAAATCCAAAGTATTCAATGTTTTCTACATATCATCAAATGTATGGATAAAAAATTATATGGTTTGGAACTTTTTATTCTATAATTCAACTATTCAAGCAACTCAAAATTATCGACATCAGAGACCGTTATTGGCCACTCATTTCTAGGTCATTAGATACATAAACTAGAAGTAAATTTATGTCATTTTTTATCTCCATAAAGTTTGTATTCATAGACCACAATGAATGATGTGGATTATTCATATTGATAGCAAATGTGTATTTTTATAGGTGTGTGACTAAGTTAGTTAGACCCAGTGTTTATTGTAACCCTACAATATATATGTTTGTATACGAGAGAAAAAACGAGAGGAGAGCTGTCAGCTCAAGAAAAACCTGAGCTACCTCCACGTGTCACTCTCTGATTGCATGGACTCGCAAAGAATTTGATAGCTTTTAAGTAAATAATTGGTATGCAATTAGGATTGTCTTATAAAAGTCAAAAAGGCCAAAGAGCTGGGCCTTTTTAAAAATAAGCAAATCCTAATTAGATTGAATACCCACCTTCGACTTCCTTTTGAGACATGCGAAGATACTCAAAATAATCCCAGTCTTTCTCTTGATTTTGTTAGATATTCAAAGATAAATTTGAAACATAGTTCTCCAAAATCCCATATATTTTGTATCTTAATTTTTATAATTTAACACAATAAAGAAGAAGAAACATACATGGACTGAATTCATTTATGCCTTATTTTCTATGTATGCTTGCAGGGTTCTCATTGTTAACATTGTAAGTTGTCAAAAAATTACTGCAGATAGTTGATCCTCACAACGCGCTGCAATGAAAGTTATAATATGACGACTTTCACGATAACAGATGAGAGTTACAATTTGAAAACTCTCACACTTCAAAAAGTCAAATACAAAGATTACAAAATGACGATCTTCGCAGAACTTGAAAAAGAGATTATAATTAACGATCTCTTCAAAGCAAAACGCGAGGGTCCATCCCGCGTTCCAACTCCAAAATGCGAGGCTCACACCTGCGTTTCATAGGCTAAACGCAAGGGTCGCTACAGAACGTGATTCTCGCGTTTGATCGATTCGATTGCAATTTGAACGGTTCAAAACTATTTTTACTTAATGGGACGATTAAGCCCACATTATGGAGTAAATTAATGGGTCAGTTACACCTCTTAAACCCTATAAATAGTTGGTTTTACAGCTGAAAAAGGGGCTGGAGTTTTGAGGGGTTGGAATTAGCTCTTGAATTCTATATTGAATTCTAAAGATCAAGAGATCGGCTCTTTTCAGCTTGAAGGGATTAATCTTCATTGTCGAAATTAACTCCTTTTAAGAGTTCCTAACTCGGCCAGAGTTCAACTTTTTTTTAAAGTTCCTAACTTGGCCAGAGTTCAAAACTTGTTTAACAAGTTCTCCCAAAATGTCAAGTCAAGAAGAGAAGACCGAAGTTCCACGAAGCGATGTGTTCAGATCGTCAACGGGGTACAAGAATCAAACTCCCATCGACACCAAGAAGAACCCAGTGTTAAACAAAGGGAATGATCTTCATTGATCTCTCTTTTGTAAATTGGGAAACCAATAAAGAAAATTATAATTTCTTTTTCTAAGTTAGTTAGAGAGAGATTATTTTGAGAGATTGTATTCATTCTTTTCCTAAGTCAGTTAGGAAGATTAATACAAATTTATTTCTTAATTTTCTTGTAATTTTTCCCGCAAACAAACATTGCAATGGGGAAAGATTATGACTTGACTGAATTTATAGCTTTTGGATCTAGAATTTTAGATGCAACAGCTAGCTTCTTTCAATTGAAATTCCATTGTTTCACAAAGAGTTTCAAATTTTTTTTCTATCATCTCATTGCTCCAATGCCCTTAGATAATGGTTTCAAGTTGATAATGGACTAAAACTTCAAGTTTACTCTTTTCTTTTTCTTTCTTTAGCTCCTACCCAACTCTCTGTTTGTACCAATTCATCTTTGAGCTATTCTCTGCCTCTATCCTCGAGAAAACTTTAACTGTAAATTTTTTGTGTGAATTTTTAGCAATATCAGGAGAGCGATTAGGATCCTTCGGAGGCTTCTTTGCGTGTTTGCGAAGGGCGAAAAAAGAACAAAGAATTGGGTTGATTGGGAGAATTCAGAGAAGGGGAGATTAGGGATATTGAGATTTGTGTATTTTTCAATATATCACATTTATTTGGAGTTTTACGTGACCAATTATCCATAATATCTATTATTAAAACCTATTAAATCCTATGCAAGCCCAACGAATGGGAGTGTCACATGGCTACAACTAAGGTTTTTCATGAGCTTATATATAGAGAATAATGTATATGCTTGATACCAAACACCAAATTGGTGCTTGGTTCCAATATGGATGGTTCTCATCTACTCATTCAAAGGTATATATTAAAAAATGAACCCGACTTAATTATCCATCCACTAAATAAGTGGAGAAGTGGCTACAAAACACCAAATTTGGTGCCTAGTACCAAGCATACCCATATAAATGAGGAATATGGGTATCTTTGGTACCAAGGACCATCTTTGGGCTTTAGTACTTGGTGACTCATTCTCATCTACACATTCAAAGGGGGCTACTTTCACATGGGTTGGAAATGACTATTTTCAAATAGGGATCACTTAAATGAGTGGTTAGGATGTAGTCACCTCACTACCAAAAAACAAATTTAGCCTTAGTACTAAGGATACGCATTTAAGTGCTAACACAATTATCTAATGTTTGCAGTTGTTGATAAAGCAATTTATTCTATTGATTTTCTATACCAGAGCATAACCTTTACTCTCGTGGAAGAGGTAGTGGCAGACTGTTTTTTTTTTTTTTTGCAGGTTTTGGTTTAGCTTGTCATTTGGGGGTGTTGGCTGATCTTCCAACGATTGGAATTGGAAAAAGTGTAAGTTAATACTTTAACCAAATTAAGTGTGGATGATTGAGAATATTTTCATGTGTCTTCACTGAGAAATAATGTCTACTTGCTGATCATGAAATAGCCTTAACATGTGATTATTCAATCACTCGGTCTTAATAGGACAAAAGATATTAAGCAATGTAAAGAATTTGCAATACCTGGTCTATTAGATAGCGAATTGTCTAGTTGTCATCAGCAAGCGACAACTATCAAGTGATGTGAGGAGTTTTATGCAATAACCACTAAATGTGGTGATATGCCTCTAATTATAGATTGGAAATATTGCTAGATAAAAGACTAGGATTATATAGTATAAGACCTAAGTGCATGGCATAGACATGCATCCTACAACTAGGGGTAAATATGTTGGGGTTGTGGAAGCTAGGTGGGTAATTAGTTTAGTATTGGAGGATTGAGAATGGAGGAAGTAGAATAGGAAAAGCTAAGTTAGAAGGGAAGATGCTAGCTTGAAGAAACTTTGTATTGACTTGCTTGAAACTTAAATCTTACTTGCTTGGTTACCATGTTTACATCTCATTCTTATTTATAGGCATTCGTAGAATTTTCTAGAACATAGATATTTTCATGAGATATATAAGGGCTACATTACCAAATTGGTATTAAAAGTAGTACCTAATGATCATATTGATATTAAAATTACCTCCGGTGGTAAGACAATTATACTTGCACAATCAAATAAATAGGCCCAAAAATACATTTTTCGGCCATGTTTCCTGCAACTGCTTAGGTGGTCTGCCACATAATGCTTAGGTGACATATATGACGTGGTAGATGTAGTTAACCTCATTCAATCTATTAGAAGGGGGAATTTTTAAATTAGGGTAAAAGAAAAAGATGGTTTTTTTTAATTTTGGGCTTCTTCCTTCAAACTGAGAGTTCTTTATTGCTTGAGCTTGAAGAATTCATGTTCTTCTATAATGGAGAACCCACTTTAAAAGAAGAATGAAAAGAAGCCCCAAAATTAATAACTCATCTTTTTTACCCTAATTTGAATATTCCCCTTTTAACGAATTGAATGACGGTAATTACTCATAAATATGCGACTAAATATCACGTGAAAGATCACATGAGTGGTAATTACTCATGAATGACGGAAAATTTATTTTTGGGCTTATTTGTCTCATCGTACAAGTTGTAATACCTTGTTGTCACCGGAGATAATTTAAAGACCAATCTGGTTATTGACTAATGACTAGTACTTTTAATACCACTGGTAATTTAGCCGATATGTAAGTTTCTACAGAATTCTATATTATCCTTATTTCTACATATATCCATGCTTATCTTATTCTATTAATTATTAGTATCTAGATACTTCTAATACATGACTCCTATTGATAATTCTAGGATACTTCTAGAATTATAGATTAGCTTCTAACACCCCTCCTTAATTTGTAATTCTCATTTTATTTCCTAGTTGTATGATCTTTCCGCTTGGTGCTTTTGGGAATGTATTTTTGAACTTGATGCCTGGCTGCTAAGAGTAACCCCTTCACGACCAATTGAGTCTTGAGCTTCTTAATGGAGCCATCTTCATTGTATTTAGATTTGTATAGCATATCCACTTAAGACTGATGACCTCCTTTCCTGCTGGAAGATTGACTAGCTCTCATGTCTTGTTCTTCTCAATCATGTGCATTTTTCATCCATTATTTTTCTCTAACCTTCTTCTTGAATAGCTTCTTCAAACTTTCTTGGTTCACAAAAGAAGAATGCTACACCATAAGAGTCATGAATGTCTTGAAGTGAATGCATCTTTCTTGGTAGTTAATCTTTCTTGAAAGTTCTTATCTTTCTCATCCATCTTTCTGGTCTCTTGAACTTTCTTTCATTGTAGTTGCATCTTCTATCGTATGATGTCTGAGAAAATTTTCTTTTTTTTTCTTTAGTTCCATCTCCTCCTTTCCTTGAAACTGTCAGTTTTTATTGAAGAGCTTGTTCCACTTATTGACTTGAAGACTTGTGTTTTTTGAGCTCATGTGACTCCAAAGAAGGCAGTAGTTCACGGAAACTTAGTTTTGATAAACCTTTTAAGTTCTTCTATGCAGCAGCAATATGATTCCATGTATAAGTAGGACTTCTTAATATATTCTCAATAATTTTCTCATCCTCTATTTTATCCCCGTAGCTTTTAATTTGATTAATAATTGAGGTAACTATCAGAAAATTCTTTCACAAATTCATTAACCTTCATCTTTATGTTGTCAAAATCTCTATATAAAGATTGTAGTTTGATAGAGATTATCTGTTCAGAGCCCTGGAATTCTTGTTAGAGTATGTCCCAGGAGTCCTTTTGATGCGAAACGGGGGAGGGGGTCTATCGGAATCAGCGATTTAATTTAAACAACGCACCGTTTCACCAATAGTCACGATCTCGGTAGGAAATTAATTTTAAAACAGTTAATGTGTCAGATGGATTTTAACAAGATTTGCATAAATAGTTTATGAACAATTCCAATCTCAAACAATATAATCATAATATTCATTATCATTGTACAAGTTCTAAATCAATATCAAATTTTAGCAGTCACATGTTCAGTTACTCTCAACTCACAGATTTAATCAAGCAGTGAATATATGATAAGAGCTTAGAGATGATATTACTCATGCAATTAACTAATAAATTAAAATTAACAGAAAAATATTGAGTTAAGAGAAATGAAACCTCAGTGGATTAATATTCAAAACTGTTGAGAGAAATCCAAAAGCCAATTAGCTTCTATAGTGAAGCCCACAGCCCATCATATCAACAATAAATAATAATAATGCTAGAAATGCACTACTCTTCATCTACAGGCTTCTTCATAGTTCATTTATCATCATCAAAATATACGCGCTTATCGACGGGTCTGTGTTGGGGGATGGGGGGTGCTCGTGGGAAGAGATGAGCAGGGGCAGCAGGTGAGTCTGCTAGTTGTGGAAGAGAAGATCGGTCGTGGGGCTAGCGGCTGTCAAGGGAGAAGGAGGAGAGGTTCGGTGGCTAGGGTTGGTGGCGGTCCTTGTTGATGGGGAGCGGGGGAGGAAAGACATGGCTGGAGTTTTGGAAGGAGAAAAAGGACCGACGACTGGCGGCTGTCAGAGGGACGACGGGGAGATGAGGCTAGAGCTTTGCGTCGGCTGTTTGAGGGTAGGGTTCAGGGACTTGGGAGGAAGGGAAGGAGGAGGCAGTGGTTGGGCGGTTCTTTTGGGAGGAGCGGGAAGCAGGGATAAAAGAAAACTCGGCTAGGGTTTCACACCCATTGGTTTCAGACTAAATAATAAGCCAACAATTTTTATTTCAAATCTTCATTATTATTTCAATTGATTACAAGAGTGTTTAAATAAAAGAGAAAATACATAATCCCTCAAATCTCTCATAATCAGTCAAATCTCTCATAATCAATCACTCAAATCTCTCAGTTACTAAAACTGATTAACTACCAAATTTAAACCACAATTTAAAATTCAAAATTCAAATCTAAACTGAAATAACTACTAAAATAAAAATCAAAAGAAAGTAAATAGCAAATATGTAAACTGTCGTTCTTGTCCCTATCATTCTTCCCGGGTGGGAGAAAACTCGACTCCGTCGAGTTAGCTGCAGAAACTTGACATCTTTAATATACTCGGTCTGCATTTTAATCTCAAATCATTAGTTAAGTTACATTGTAAACTCACCATCTAAAATATTATCAAAATTCCATGCAACTTGGGTGAATATATAGAAGTGGGGTAAGTGAAAGAACTCTCATGAATAATAAGCTAGGGTCAGGTTTATATCAGTGGACTGCTAATAACATTGTGAACTGTTTAATCAATCAATATTAAGAATAGAACAATGACCAAATCGATAATATAAATGTTACTATTAATTATTTTAAGAGTTGGAAAAGTTCATAAATATCATATCAAACCTTAAACAGTTATAAAGAAACTGTTTTGGACAAGTTCAAACCATCTTAAATATCATCATTAATAGTTTTAAAATTATGTCCTGACTCCATATCATTCATTTCAGTTAATGTGTATTTATTCAAATTAGATCACTGATTCCCCAATATATGATCAATGCAAAATAAAAATGATGTAAATCAACTCAAATGATTATGATGAAATGCAGACTCGAAAAATGCGATCAATGGCAGATGTAAACTCAACGAAGTGTCTAAAATGCATGACGTCCTCTATCAAATGGAATAATTAGGTGTTTCTTCGTTAATATGCATAACAAATTTCCTATTTTTGCAGTGATAAGGAGGAACGTACAAACACATGCATGAAGGAGTGTTTTTGTGTGCTTAATATGAAGGAGAAAGGAAATAATAACACTCGTGCTCAAACTTGTATCCCTAATCACTATATATTCCCCAAAAGGATCAGTGTATGTGTGAGTGACTATCGGGACAATACATAGGGATTTGATATCTAATATGGTAGCTGTTTCACTATGCTCGGTTTGGGTTTTAACTTACCATACAAATATCTGAGTGAATCGATTCAAGAACTAAATCAGGAACGTGTTGGGTGTCATGTTGGTCCAAGAGGACTTCGTGGGGAATATCAACAACGTTTTCAGTCACTGAAGTGAATTTAGGAGAAGTTGGAGTTTTAATTTCAAGAACAGCTTCAGTGAACTCTGTGATCAAAGGAGTAGCTTGGGGAATAATCGGATTGTTGTCATTGCATGAAACTTTAGTTAACTCCACAATTGCAGGGGTAGTTTCAGAAGGAACGGAAGTGCATGATTCTTCGATTATACTACCTTGGATTTTCTTGTCAGAGTTAGATTCTGTCAAATCTACGGCATGGTTAACGTTTTTCCCAATAATAGATTTTGATTCCGTTATATGCGGCTTATTGATTCTAACTCTAAACGGAGTTGTACAGACGGAAGCAACGTGCCCATATCATTGACAATTGTAACACTGTATTATTGGGCTAAGTTTGGAGAGAGATCTCTCTGACTTTCCTTAGGATCGACTCTAGATTGGGAAGAACTAGGGTTAGATCAACTAAGAGGCTGATTAGGGGTATTGGCAAGGGATGACTGGGAGGAATGAGTTTGAAAATCCTGATTCGATTCCCCTTGTTCCCTTCACATCTACAAGGAGCTACCCTTAATACCAGTGGCTCATCCCCACGGGCAGAGCACGGGCGAGCAGCGTGGGGACCACTGGGACGCGAACTGGTGAGCATACAACGGGCTGAGCTGGATTTGGTGACCAATAAAACCCCGGGTTTTCGTCCCCACCCTTAAACCAAGGGAAACCAGGTGAATGCGGCTACGAGGATTCAAACTCCTGACCAACAACGGGCAATAGCCTGGAGAGATACACTCCCCCATGGAGAGCTGCTGACCATGAGTCCCACCCGCGGGTGGTGGCTTCATCTAAATCTTGAACTAAGACGTAAGCTCTCTCAAGGGTGTTTACTCCTCTAGCAAAGAGTTCGGCTTGGAGGTCACTTCTCAATCCAGCTCTAAACTTTGATATGACTTTCATCGGTGCCTCTTGATCTATGGTGCTGCATCGAGTAAACAATTCGTCAAATTGAGCAACGTACTCTTTTGTGGATTTGGTTCCCTAAGTAAAGACAATGCCACTTGTTCAGCAATCTATGATAAAATGATGGTGTGAGATATTTCTATTTCAATTCGTCGGTCATTTCTCGCCAAGTAAAAATTAGTAACTCACCTCTAATATGCCTCAACATTTCGAGGTTGGACCATATTGATAGGCGGTTCCGATGAGCTTCATAGCGGCAAACTTGGCTTTGCGGGTTTTCGTCAAAATGTACCAGTCAAAATATCGATCCATGTTCTTCAACCAGTCCAAGAAAGCTTCTAGGTTGAACCTACTATCAAAGGTTGGTGGATCAGGTACGGGTAGAGGTCGATGAACAATGTACCCATGACCATTCCCTTGACCTTGCGGAGGCGGAGTTGTAACGTGCGTTTCTGCGAGCCTAGCAAGCATTTTATTGGTGTCATTCATGGTCTCGCGGGTAGCTCTGTTCTCCTGGGCTAAGTTACCTATTTTACTGTTTAGTTCCTCAAATTTCTTAAGGAGCTCGGAAGACATGCTGGACTCACTAGATGATTGACTTGACTCACCTAATCGATAGGGTAGACTCGTGCGAGTGGCATGCACTAACAATTAAATGAAATGGGATGCACTAACAGGTAAATGAGATGAATGAGATTTTTTTTAATATCAAATAAAAGACTCAACTAATCTAAAAATAAAATAATAATAATAATAATTTTCTACCCTAGAACCATGCTCTAATACCAAAAATAATGCGAAACGGAGGAGGGGGTCTATCGGAATCAGCGATTTAATTTAAACAACGCACCATTTCGCCAATAGTCACGATCTCGGCGGGAAATTAATTTTAAAACAGTTACTGTGACAGATGGATTTTAACAAGATTTGCATAAATAGTTTATGAACAATTCCAATCTCAAACAATATAATCATAATATTCATTATCATTGTGCAAGTTCTAAATCAATATCAAATTTTAGCAGTCACATGTTCAGTTACTCTCAACTCACAGATTTAATCAAGCAGTGAATATATGATAAGAGCTTAGAGATGATATTACTCATGCAATTAACTAATAAATTAAAATTAACAGAAAAGAATATATGATAAGAGCTTAGAGATGATATTACTCATGCAATTAACTAATAAATTAAAATTAACAGAAAATACTGAGTTGAGAGAAATGAAACCTCAGTGGATTAATATTCAAAACTGTTGAGAGAAATCCAAAAGCCAATTAGCTTCTACAGTGAAGCTCACAGCCATCATATCAACAATAAATAATAATAATGCTAGAAATGCGCTACTCTTCATCTAGAGGCTTCTTCATAGTTCATTTATCATCATCATCAAAATATCCGCACTCATCGACAGATCTGTGTTGGGGGGTGGGGGGTGCTCGTGGGAAGAGATGAGCAGGGGCAGCAGGTGAGTCTGCGAGTTGTGGAAGAGAAGATCGGTCGTGGGGCTGGCGGCTGTCAAGGGAGAAGGAGGAGAGGTAGGGTTCGATGGCTAGGGTTGTTGGCGGTCCTTGTTGATGGGGAGCGGGGGAGGAAAGGCATGTTGTTTGGATCTGGAGGGAGAGGAGAAGAACGGGAGGGATGGGGCTTGAGGTTGAAGACGAGGGGCAGGGGTGCGGCTGATTTTTTTTTACGTGGGGAAGACATAGGAGTTTTTTTTTGGCGGCTGGGAATTTGATATGGAGAAGAACGTAGAAAAGAAAACTCGGCTAGGGTTTCACACCCATTGGTTTCACGCCAAAATAATCAGCCAACAATTTTCATTTCAAATCTTCATTATCATTTCAATTGATTACAAGAGTGTTTAAATAAAAGAGAAAATACATAATCCCTCAAATCTCTCATAATCACTCAAATCTCTCATAATCAATCACTCGAATCTCTCAGTTACTAAAACTGATTAACTACCAAATTTAAACCACAATTTGAAATTCAAAATTCAAATCTAAACTGAAATAACTACTAAAATAAAAATCAAAAGAAAGTAAATAGCAAATATGGAAACTATCGTTCTTGTCCCTATCACCTTTTATTTTGATGTGGACATTATTCTGAGAAATATTGCTTTGCTTATCCCTTGTTGGATAAAGAGGAGCGCATTCACATCCTTTTTCCTTGTAGTCCTACACTCATTTTACTTTGTTGGTATCCATGAAGCCAACATCACCCAGTCATATGAACCCTCATAGCCTTCTTCAACATGCTTCTAAAGCTCTTGAGAGATGAAGAGAGTCTTTATTTGAGGCTCCAAAAGTCATGGTTTTCTCCATAAAAAATGGGGACTAGATTTTGGGAGTAATTGAAAAGAGAAAAGCAGAGGTTGATGATGATGCCATTTAGAATGGTAGTGAAATGTTTAAGGCTTCGAAGTTAATTTGAGGTGGAATAGAATAGCTCTCATACCAAATTTGTTGGGGTTTCGGAAGCTATGTGGCTAATTGGTTTAGTATCGGAGGATTGAGAAAGGAGGAAGTAGAATAGGAATTAGAGTGGAAGATGTTAGCTTGAAGAAACTTTGTATTGAATTGCTTGAAAATTGAAGCTTACTTGCTTGGTTACAATATTTACATCCCATGCTTATTTATAGCCTATAGGCATCCGTGGATCTAGAGCATAGATATTTTCATGAGATATCTAAGTTTCTAGAGAATTCTACAATATCCTTATTTCTGCATATATCCATGCTTATCTTGTTATATTAACTAGTAGTTTCTAGATACTTCTAAGCTACATGACTCTTGTTGATAATTTTAGAATATTTCTAGAATTACAGATTAGCTTCTAACAAAATAAGCCTAAGAGGATAGCTACTTTCCGTAGGTGTAACTTTTAGGGTATTGAGTACATGCATCAGTAAGGTGAATGATGAATATGGTTAGCCTAAATGAATTAGGAGATAATATCTAATGTCACTTATTAAGGTTAACTTGCTGGGAGCAAGAAATATGGGGGTTTCCTACCTTTACACTGGAAAAGTAAACATGCTGAGAACATGTTGTTTGTTTCTTGCCTATCAATAAGTTTACCTATATCGAGAACGGTTAACCCAGAAAGAGTAGTATGTCTTGAATTCTCATAAGTAAATATTATTTTACTGTTCATCGTTGTACTTGAGACATTAATATGGGTTGATCATGGACCAAAAACTATCTAACGGTTGGTGAATTGTATGACTGGTGTTGACCTCATGACACTTGCTCACTTGAGCAAGTATCAAATCTGAAAATTTTGGGATAAAAGCTTTGTTGTTCTTGCTATGAGTTACGACACATCAATATTTATCCGTGTAGGCCATATCTTCTGTCATTTCCTTTTCGATGCATGTATATTTTATATAGTTATATATATATTATCTATAATTATATTTATAGAACTTCCATATCCATAAATTACATTGGCCACAGTTTACAAAACTTCTGTTATAACTGTATTCATTGTCAACTCACATTCATATCCTATTTCTGCATCTGCGCTTCACAGTTGTCCTTCATTGCATTTTCACAACATCGTTTATCCATCCTCCCTCATTTTTATCCTCAATAGAAAACAACCTTTAAATTTATGTTCTTACAGATGCACCCATTTCTTAATCTTTATCCTAAGAGTATGGCTAGTCATCGATCTCAACATTCTCATTATTTGCTACACTTGTTTTGGAAAAAAAATTCAACTGCCCAATGTTTGTGTTGTAAAAAATATCTGGTCTTACAACTATCCTATAAAGTTTTCCTTTAATTTTATATTCAACATAGATTCGTCAACAAATTTCCACTTCAATGCCATGAACTCCATCTTTTTTTTTTTTACCATTGCTAGCAAAAATGGTTAATCCTAAGCTGAAGGATATAGCTTTCTTTCTTCAAGCACTTAAGAAATGGTTGAAGTTTGTAACAATGGTTTTAAATAGAAGCAACAGCTGAGCATTTCTGCTAGGATTTTGTCACATTTAGTGACATCTCTTATGTTGACCTGTATCTACAGGGAAGTTTAGAACCCAGCAGACATAAGTGGGTGAATTTTGGGTCTCGGACTATATCATGGACTGGTAGTCTGGTATACGATAGTTTTCTGAAGCCAAATGTACATGATATAGCCCATTCATATCTGATCATGTGCATAAAGATCTAAACCCCGATATAAAAATGGACATGACCTTGTTTGGTCATATCTTCTGTTGTTGGAGTTCAATCTAATGCGTATTTCCTAAATTAATTTGCAACTTTTGTTTCATGTCATATTGCAAACTTTGGCGTCTTTTTTGGTACCTTGTGGCTTTTGTTTGGACGCATAAGTTTTTCACTTGTCTTTCAGTTGCATCATGTGGATGACCTTTCTCAATCTGGAGTCCGACAACATCTAGAAGAAGGGGAAATTTGTGGAAAAGATCTGGTTCCATTAATTGGGAAGTCAGGGCAAGTATGGGGAATGGTAAGTGTGCTTGTTATTTCAAATGATGTCATTAGATGATGATCTGGATCTATTATATGTTGTTTGTCATTTATTTGATACATAAGTTTTCAGTGTTCTATCCCGTTCCAAAATAAGCTACAAGGTGTTGACATTCTTAAATGATTTTGCTTAACAGTATTGAGAGTTACGACTATCTCCAACATAAGTAGTTAGTATTGAGATCTTCCAATTGAACAAGACTTGTAGGTCAGCAGCAGATACATACTTGAACTTGGTCATTCTACGTAATGTAAGAGAATTTAGTCAATGGACTCTTGTAATTACATTCAGCCAATATGTTGTATGTAAACATCAAGGGTTCAGGTTATAAAATTGTAGTTGCGAAAGTAAAACAGCCACTTGTATGATTTACTATGTAGCACTGCTGCTTCTGTTCTCCATTAGTAACTTTAGCTTTCTGAGGGATTTGATTGCATAGATGCAATTGCGATTCTAATTAAGGCCGGGTTTAGGCTGCTCCTGTCAAAAAATTGTTTTGGTTATGCGAGGGAGCTTGCCTATCTGGGCATGTTTTTATTTTCCTTGAGATTAATGCCATTCACTAGCAGAAATTGTTGTTAATTTATAGGCTTTTGAATTTCATGAGGCCAATGCATAATCCAGATTCCAGACAATGCTTGATTTGTTTTTATGGCATTCTTGTCATTAATACCCTACAAAAGGTTACGGTGTCTACTGTTGTGAACTATGTTTTATTTCCAGGCACTGCGCTCAACTTCTAGTTCATCAAAACCTATCTATATATCAATTGGACATCGCATATCTCTTGATTCATCTGTCAAGGTTGTCAGATCATGCTGCAAGTTCCGTTTGCCTGAGCCCATACGGCTGGTACGCTACCCTTTTTGTCCTAAGCTTGCATGCAGATGGCTTGTCGAACTTCTTAAATGTGTACTTTTCTTGGGATAATTTTGATACATGTTAAATTTACTTCAGAGAAAGCAGTTCCATTAACATTATTTAGTTGTTTTAATCATCAATATATGATAATATGCAAGCATTGTCTTTTTATCACTTTAAAATAATGAGACACAGGGCATGTTCCCATGATATGCAAGTGATTTAAGCTTTTCCTATCCTGTCCATCCAAAAATGGTTGATACAGCCAGCATTTATTGATAACAACTAATATAGGTCAACGTTTGCTTATGAGGACCAATAGAAGAGAAAATTTACGGTTTTGGCTACAAAAAGTTGATTGGATAATGTTAGACTGGAGAAATTATAAAGAATTTGAGTAGACGACTTGTGATTAAACTCTAAGCATGTACCTATGTTGGGATCTGAGATGAAACCAGTGAAACTTCGAGATACTAATATTGACAAAGGTGAACAAAATCTGAAGCACTGGTACAGAGATTTCAAACCTTGATGCGTACTAATACTGTGTTTTTGTGCATGCGCGTGTGTGTTTCTCCTTTTCCACCTTGATTTTGCAAGAACTTTCAAAGTTGTTAAGATTTACTCGGACAATTATTCCTTTTGTAGGCTGATATAAGATCAAGAGTGTTTCTGCAGAAGATGCAAGACTGAAAACGTTCATGATCAAAGAGTGATAATATCCTGTTGGTATCATTCAACTCTTGTTGGTCACCAAGTACTTAACAAGGATGGAGAAAAATATAGCTTATGCTCTTTACGTCTGGGCCACACTCCCTGACATGTATCTTGATTTAGATCTGGTTAATGGGAAAATGATTTTCATCAGCCTGATTTTGAGCTGGTTCAACTAAGATATCCGACATTTTTCCGGATATGCTTTTTGTATATTTTGATGAGACGGTACGACTTGGTCCGATTTCTCGGAGATGCCCCACTCTTCCATCCAAAGCGTTCATGGTTGTTCGGCTAAAAATGGTACACCATCTTCACATTCCCTAGAAAGTAGTAAACTTAAATGAAAGTCGCAAAAATGGTAAGAAGTTATAATTAAAATTATAATTAAATAGTTTTAACTATATTTACTATTTAATTCTATTTTGTCACACCATCCATCATCACATTGTGCTTTTAACAATAATTTTGTTTTTTAAACAAAAGTTATATTTTACTTGCATGTTAGATGCGGAAGCGATAGTTTTTTCTTAAAAGAAAAAGTAACTGACACATTTTCAATTTATTTTCAAGTTTCCAAAAGCCCCAAAAAAACAATGAAATTTTGAATAGTGGATAATAAATTACTAATAAATCATCCATAAAAAAATATTTTACAAATTTTATATTCTTAGACGTGTTTCATTAAGTGAGAAAATATCATCGATATTTTGAATAGTGTATAATAAATTACTAATAAATCATCCATAAAAAAATATTTTACAAATTTTATTTTCTTAGACGTGTTTCATTAAGCGAGAGCTCTTCTTAAAGAGAATAAGGAAGAATAGATCAAAATTAGCGGAACCAAAAGCATTGCACATCGAATGCAGTTCTTCAAAAAATCATATACTCTCTTTAAAAGCACGAGTTCGGAAAATCTTTTTTAGATAAATATATCCCTTTATAATTTTAACTACCTTATCTATAATTAAATTCTAATTTTCAAATTTAATTTTAATGATGGTGTTTGAATAAGCAGCGTACAAGAATTTGATACCCTTAGGTTATAATAATCTTTAAAAGCACGAGTTCGGAAAAATCTTTTTATGACCAATATTACCCTTAGGTTTTTTAAAATATTACATTGTTATCCTAATCTATTCTAATTATCTTATCTTCTTTGAATTGGTAACAAAATGATTTATTCTTTTCATAATGAGACTTAACATGTTATTGGATAAAATAGATATGTTTCATATAATTCAAATCTTTTACTTGTTTTAATTTGTAGAGAAATCTAAAAAATAATGCTAGCCTACATCTAAAAGTTTTTGGACTTTGTAAAAATTATTCTCTAAGTTTTTTAAATTACAAAAACACACCGACAAATTCAAAATTTTATTAAAACATCTTGAAAATTATAAATTTTACTTATCTCAATTCAGTGAGAAATCTGAAAAATATATGCTAACTAAAAGCTAAAAGTTTTTTGACTTTGGAGAAAATATCTTGTAAGTTTTAAAAATTATAAAAACACCCTAAAAATTTAAAATTTATAAAACGCATGTTGAAAATGTCAAACTTATAAACATATTAAAAACCTACAAATAACACAAACAACCCCCAAAAATTTATTGAATTTGTAATACACGCTCTAAACTTTTTACAAATTTTAAAATAAAACCCTCAAAATTATAAAATTTATAAAAATCATCATAATTTCTGACCTAACAGTACATTAAAAATATAGGAATTATAAATATTCCCTACATAATTTATAATTTATAGAAAACACCCTTAAAGTTTTAAAAATTAGAAACAAACATTTAAAATTCAAAATTTATAAAAAACACCCTAAAAATCTTAAATTTATTAGTAATTGAAAGTGTAGGAAGTATTAATAGTCTATAAACAATTTACAATCTGTAAGAAAAACCTATAAGTTTAAAAAATTACGAAATGTCCTTAAAATTCATAATTTACAAAAAAAACTCCATGAGAATTTCTAACCTATAGATACTAAAATGAACATGAAAAACTACTAACAACCACTAGAAAATTAAAATTTTATAAAAAATATCATACACCTTTTAAGAGTATAGGTTTAGGAAAAAATTTCACGGTAAATATTACCCATAACTTTTTTGAAAAGAACATAACTAATTAAAAATATATTAAATTTAAAATTTATAAAAAATAACCTTAAAGTTTAGTACATTGCAAATTACCCCTCCAAAGTTTGGAATTTTTCAATGATTTTTTTATAATTTTTTGATTTCAATGTAATGTTTAATAGTTTTGTGTATTTATAAATTATAAATTTTAGAGTGTTTTTTTACACTTTTTTAAAACTTTTGAGGGTGTCTATTTTGTAGTTTTTTAAATTTTTATTGTGTTTTCAGTGTAATGCACATACACATCAACTAATGATGATATTGAAAAATAAGTCGTTCTTAAGATTATTAGACCATAGTTAAGTATGCACATCACTATTCCTGTTTTATTCTATAGTTACGCATATCAAATTAGTAACTAAAATAATAATTATTTATGCTTAAATTAAGATGATTATAGTTGGTCACTCACTATAAAATTTTTATGAAAATATATACCTTACTTTCTGTAGCTATCTGCATTGCTCATGTAAATTTTATAAATCAGTTCTTAATTTGACATATTAAATTACTTTTCATTTATAGAAATTTCTTCTTTAACTTTTAGACTGTGTAATTACTATATCACCATTCTAGCATCGAAAGGACTTCACTCTAAATGGCTTCAAGCTAATATTTGAGTTTCACTGAAGTATATACTATTGTTACTATGTGTATATATTTTTTAAGAAAATCATGTCAATACTTTTTAAATTGAAGAGAACATTCTAATCTCTAATATTATAAAAATTAAATATAGCAAATTGAATGTTTTGCAAAGGAGAACTTACATCAGAAAAGTGTGAATAATAAGATAAAAAGCAAAGGTAATGGCATTGCAAACAGTACTATAAATAGAAAACTACAATGTTAACATATTTTGTGGTGCCCAACTATTGGCTATAAGCATTGAGGTTTCTATATATATACTTTATAATTTATTAAAAAGGGCCATATAATCTTATATAATAAAATTGATTTAATAATAAACAGTAATATCATTGTAATAATATCATTATTAGAAAAAATTCTTCATGAATCGATATGCTTTTTACGATATATAAGCTATACACTCTAAAATCTTGTGTCTTTTATAGAGCCAACAAGTTTGAATACGAGCATCTAATATGTTGCTCTCACAACAGTAAAATCCACTTAGGAGATATGGATATTTTAGATGAGTTATGTATCATATATATAATACAATTGTCCTAGGCAAATGAGTTATAATAATATTTTTCATTCACATCGTTTGGGGTAATATTTGAAAGGGACCTTGCATCAAAGAAAAAAGAAATTTTTATGTTTAGAGAACATGACGAAATATATCATAATCTCCCTGTTCTAATTTCATAAGAAAATATATTCTTTATATTTTCAGTTTTACTTCTATGATACAAAGAATGAGCTATAAAATTGAATAAGAATATTAGATAATATAAATATGAGTGAAACATCAACTACAAGTTAACATGAATATGAGTCAAATCACAACTAAAAGTTTAATAGATATATTGCAAGTAAATTCATATGTAAATTTTTTTTACGAATTGAATGAGCACCCATCTTTTGAAGACTTCAAGATACTAATAAATAGAGATATTGTACTAAATTAATGTGTTTATAACTTATAAATAGTAGACCACGTAATCACACTCTGGGTTGAAGGAAACAATGATAATATTTTATTTGAGAGAGAGATTATTGAGTTGATGATCAATCCCACATAAAACTTTGTTTTCTTTTTTTTATTTTTACTTTATTTTTATCAATTTAAACAATCATGCTATTCAACCACGTGAATCTCAAGTGAATCTCAACTCATGATATTTAATCACGTGCATTTCACGTGCATCTCAACTAGTAAAATAAAATAAGTCAGAATTTGGAAATTGTTAGGGAAAATAATAAATGCATCAAAATAATTTATACAAAAATGGAATAACTAAGATGAGAATTTAGGCTGAAGAATAAAAAACATTAAAACTTTCAAATAATGAATAAAATGCAAAATAAACAAAATAGAAACTACTGTGGCTTCTTTTTTTTAAGAAGTTTCTCTAATTGAATAACAAATTAGAAGGTAAATCTATGGAAAATCAAGTAAATCAAATTATTTTAAATAACAAAAATTACCCAACTTAGACAAATCCAAATTAGCTCAAATGAAATCCAGTGATGAATAAAATCACGTTAATCTTATCATGGCTTCAAATGAATACAAAATAAGATAAACTAATGTAACAGTTCTCTGGTGCTTTTAGTACCTTCGTTTTAGCTTAGAATCCTCTCAAATTAGGTGGCAACTGGAGAGTCTCCGATTCCTCCTATCATTATCATACATAGAATTGATTGGAGAATTTATTTGATTAAGAAATGAGCAAAGAAATTCAAGTTATACTTCTTTCAGGTTTATATTCATGAAAATATCATCATATAAAGAAAAAAATATCTCAAAAGCTTTTTGTTGTTGTTATAATTTTTGGGTGTTATATGAAAATCACAGAATGCTATTATGGGCTTTCTACAAAATGCAAAAAAGTATTGGGGGTTTAGTGCGATTTTGAAAGTTATCCGGGATTAACTGTAAAAGAAAGTTCATGAGGGTTTAGTGCAATTTACCCTAAAATAAATCATACACATGCTAGATATAATAAAATTTTATTATTTAAAAAATATATAATCTGAAAGTTCCAGTATCTAAGAGATCAACAAATCATACATCCAAAACACATTACCTAAAAGAGCTATCGGTATAGTATACTGACATACAAAAATAATTCAAGGCAACATTCCATGAACCACCATGAAAGTGGGGCTTTACACCATTCGTTGCAATCAATAATAAATCATTTAACAGACAGATACAAACGAGAACTAAATTTGCAAAATTATTTAATTGGAAAAATGTGCTAGAAACTCAAATTAAATAGTTAGTCGTAAGAGTAGAATTTCATTTGGCCTTAAACTTAAAGATTATATCTCTTTTAATTATATTTATAAAAGATCTGATTTTAAATTTAAGTTAGTTACTATGGAATTCTGTTTTTAAAAAAAAACCTCCTCCCTAGTCTCATAAAAATTCACCTTAATCTCCCCACAGCCCATCCACACTCCTTGCTGAGATACGGATGAGAAAGAAATTTCGGGGGTGTTAGTCAATCGGGACATTTTCATTTTCATAAAAAATAGGATAATTGTTAAATTGGAATAATTTTTCGCTAATGGGATATTTTAGTAGGATAAATAGGAACAATTTTGTGAAGCGGGATATTTTGATAAAATAACATGGGATAAAATTTTATAATCATGAAGTATATGTTTATGCATTTTGAAGATATAAATACTATTTATGTATTTTAAACTTATTTTTATAATCATGAAGTATATGTTTATGCATTTTGAAGATATAAATACTATTTATGTATTTTAAACTTACTATTATTGATTGATAATTGCTTTTTGAAGATATAAATACTATTTATGTATTTTAAACTTACTATTATTGATTGATAATTGCTTACAATAATATTCTTACTATTAAATAACTTTTGGTTAGATTATAAGATATTGACAATTATTATTCTGATGATGGTCTAATGATGGTGATAACCATAATAGGAAAGAAGTAAATAAAAAAAAATATAAAAAATAAAAAAATAAATATAAGTTCTAGTTTTTTACCATCTAATTCCAAACTAAAACTTAGAATAATTTGAGAGACTAGAACTCTCATTTTTTGTATAGAAAAAAAAAGTGGGATAATTTTATACTATTATCCCAATTCAAGTTTTGTTAGAGTTCTACTACTAACACTGTAAAAAATTGTTCTAGTTTTAATTCTATATGACTAACATACCTTAAAAATTTATCTCACAGATTATCATACTTCCAATTTTAAGTTCTAGGGTGATCTAATCCCCCCCCCCCCTACCCGGCTACTACCCCAGCGCCTCCCCACCCCCTACCCCCAGCCCTTCAGGGAATAAATATTTATTGAGATTGTTTTTTCCAAATGTTCTCGAAGGAAATGGGAGAGAGAAAAAGATATAAGATGAGAAAGAATAGGAAGTAAGAAGATTCGCTATAGATTCTAACTGGTGTAAAGTTTTTTTTTATATTTATTTACAGATATTATACTTATGTTAGTTATAGTCAATCTGTTTACCCCTTTTTTTTCCTTTTCTTTACTCAGATTCAGTAGGAGGCTGATTAACAAAATAATGCTTCGTAAGATTTATCAGAAGATTGATTAACAAAATAATTATTTTTCCAAGATAGTTGTTTATAACAGAAAACCGGTAAAGATATTTTTTTCTTACCCTTTTTTTTCCCTCCATGAGATTTGCTAGGTGTTGAATTAACAAAAAAATTATTTTCTTACAAAATTCTTTCAGGCGGGAAAGTTACGGAATAATTTTTTGCCACGTAGCTGACATAGTGGCAGTGGCAGCTGCTTTAATAGTATAATACTATAGATATAGATGATAAGTTAATACTCTTGGTTTATAAGACAATTTGAGACTGAGTGGGTTTAAAAATTAATTAGGGTAAAGATTTGCGTTTAGAAGCAAAAATCTAAGAATTAATGAGGCCTATATGCACGATTTCTTAAGGGTGAATTCAAGAAACTCCCCAAAAATTTGGAGTGTTTCCTACAGAAAAAAACCCTCCTGCATTTTGTTTTCCCACTAAACCCAAAAGCTTTTTCCACAAAACCCCAAAACTCCAAAAATTCAAAACAAAACAAAAACTTACGAGAAGTCTCTCTTTCAAATGGATGTTTTTTTTTTTTTAACACATCAATCGGATGACCTTGTTATGTATCAAATTTTGCACTTCAAACCGCTAAATAATGTGGTCAAATAATTACCAATGTGCATCGGTTTGTCTAATCAAAAGACGGTTCCATTTATACTTCAAACTGCTAAATAGAGTCGCTCAACTCACGGCCGCTTGTTTCAAAGGGGAAGAAACAGACAGCCATTCCAGAGGAAAATACAACAAGCTCAAACAAAATAACTGCTGTAGTCTGATGACAGCGCTTAATCAGGCTGACGGCTACAAGGGGGCATAAGATTCCACCCACTCTTCCAACGGCGCTCGCAATCCCCACGCCGCTACTCCTCACTGAGGTTGGGTATACCTGTTTTTTTTTAGAAAAACATCAGCATGAGAATAAATATCATGGTAAAAGCTAAATATGACCAAGCTCATTACACAATATGATTCTCCATCATCCGCTATTTCATGTTCTCAAGGAACAAAAACAATGTCATCTCTTATTCTTTTTTATGGTGGTGATTTGTGAGGATCGAGCAGATTTGATCGATCATATTTCATACAGCAGATTCATATTCAAAGTGAATCCGCTTCTGAATATGATAATTGTCGGGGTTATTAACTTCACAAGAATCTGCAATCACAATGTTGAGTTTCTAGTTTACTTTGGATTGATACTTACTTGTTCTAGATTTCTTAACTTAATGAATGTATGTAAATTTCTATCTTCCAGTACTTACTTATATCTAACTTGTAGGGTTGCATATTACGTGCAACTTATTTACACTGATTATTTGTTAGCCTCTTTACCTTGTCCAGCTTTAATGAAATTACATTTCCCAGCTATCTCTACCAGAAAAATCTTAATTCAGTTTAGTTGATTCCTTACCAAACACCCTGCCTCCAGGACAGCAAATAATAAGCCCATAACCCCAAAGCAAACTATTATAGCAAGACATATTAGGAGGATGGATACCCTGTAAGAGCGTATGTTGATAAACTATTGAAAATATCTTAGAACATGGTTGAGAAACTGTAAGGACAGCAAGAACTAATTAAATTTCTGGAGAAGTACTCTTCCAATTTACTAACAGGTAGTATACA